TGTCTTACATATTTAGTGCATCTTTCATACTGATGATACCTTGCTGGGACACTGCATTTCATGCCCACAGGTACAGCTAGAGATTCAAATAATACCTCGCAGTATGTGACTCGATTCAGCTGAAGGTTGTCACGCTCCCTTCTTTCAAAACTATTTAGTGAGCCAATAGGTATGGTGGTTGTATGTATATACATAATTGGATATGTAGGGGTCCTGTCCCGCTCAAATGTTGTTGATGTACTCCCTAAAGTCTTGTAGACAGTCGTCTTGTATATAGTAGTTTTGTGTGGCTTTGTCGGCCTTCTTAGTGGACCCGTTATGTTTATAATGGCCTTGTCGGCCTTGTTGTATATATATACAAATGTTAAGACTTTTCTGTGTGTATGTGGTTGTGTCTTTTGATCAAGTAATCACTCGTCAGAGGTCTTGTCAGCCTTCATATTGTTGAGTATATTACATGTATCATGATTGTTATGCTCGGGCCTTAGGGCACCGGGTGCCGGCCACACTCCTCGAGGTTGGGTTTGACAAGCTTAGTTTTAGAGCAGGTCTGTCGTAGGTATGTCTACAAGCCGTATCTAGTAGAGTCTTGTTTATGAGTATGTTATGCGCCACACTTATACATAGGAGGTTGCGAGGCATTTAGGATGGTTACTTTTCCTTCATGTTCTAGATCGTGTGATTGAACAGAGTCATAAGGAATGAAAATTTTAACCCTAATCCTTATTTGTCTTATAGCTGAGAGATGACTTCCACTGGAAGGACTATAGGTGATTCAAGGGTTGCGATGGAGATGGAGATGGGAGTAAGTTACTCCATTGAGACAGACCCGTCTGAGGTTATGCCCACTATTGAGGTAGACCCATAAGAGATTATGCCATCTATCGAGACGAATTTGTCTAAGATACAAGATGAGTCGCCACTACGGGAGTCTCCGACCCCGATGGTATTAGAGGAACTGGGAAGAGCTCAAGTATTACAAGTTTTCCGTGTGGCCCCAGTTGAGCGAGAAGTAAGGAGGGCAACACAAGTGTTGACTAGATTAGTTGATCCTTAGGCCCCGTACTATGATGTCTCACCAGAGGATGTGAGGTCTTCTGAGGAATTGAGATGTAGGAGTCAGTTAATTAGGACTCGTCATCATCCACATAACAATATCCAAATGAGGGTATTGGTCCGACCATGAGGGTCAGAATAATGGGTACTTTTATAGGATTCCTAAGCAGCGACAAATGACAAGTAAACGGACAAATGGTTGGAGGACTTTCTTCTCTTATGTTAGAACGATTTGTACCAGATCAGGGCTCTAGGGTAGGGCCATGTCAAGGTTCACATGCATCGAGATATCAGGACTAGACTGAATTATGATGAAATGTATACTACCATTTTGATAAAATATCTTTATATCCATGAGTGTGATCTTGAAATGTCATATTCTATACTATGATGATAATTCATAAAGCTTTGCTAGTAGGGTTAAAGAGAGAAAATAGTAATGTTAAAGGGAAAAACTTAGATGGGATTTTCGGTTGAATGATAGTTAAGACTGTGCTTATATTACGATTGAAGGGTAGCGTAGGAGTGCTTGACTAGTAAGGTAACATTATGTTTAGATAAAGGTTATGTTAACCTTACAGAGAGATAACAGAAAGGGGAACAGTGTTTCATGCCCGCAAGTACATATAGAGATTTAGATGATACCTCGCAGTAGGTGACTCGACTCAGTTAAAGGTTGTCACACTCCTTTCTTCCGGAGTTATTTAGTGAGCTGATAGGTATGGTGGTTGTATGTATATACATAGTTGGGTATGTCAGGATCTTGTCCCTACCAAATGTTGTTGATGTACTCCCTAGAGGCTTGTAGACATTCATCTTGTATATAGTAGTCTTGTGTGGCTTTGTCGACCTTCTTAGTGGACCCCTTGTGTTTATATTGAGCATGTCGATCGTGTTGTATATATACGTATGTTTGAACTTATCTACGCGCATATGTTTGTTTCTTGATCAGGTAATTACTCGTCAGAGGCCTTGTCGGCCCACATATGGTTGAGTATATTACATGTATTTGGATTGGTACGCTCGAGCCTTAGAGCATCGGGTACCGGCCACCCCCCCAAGGTTGGGGTGTGACACTTTGAAAACCCAAGACACATTGTCTCTTGTTTCGAAGAATGCAACTAAAAACCTTGTCGGATGCAAATGGGTGTTCTGAATCAAATATAATTCAAATGGTTCTGTCAACAACAAGTACAAGGTGGCTCGTCGCTAAAGGTTTCCATCAAAGAACATGCTTGATATGGTGATACCCCTTCACCAGTAGCTAAACAAACAACTATTAGGACTCTCTTATCGCTTTCCATTATTAAGATTGGCCTCTTCAACAAGTGAATTTTAATAATGCTTTCCTTAAGGAGCGCTACAAGAGGAAGTTTACATGAATCAACCATCGGGATTTGTTGAATCCTATAATCCAACTCATGTTTGTCAGCTTCATAAGGTCATTTATGTACTCAAGCAGACATCTCGTGCATGGTTTTCTGAACTAAAATCATATTTGCTTGCCTCAAGTTTTACTATGGCACACTCATATAATTCCTCGTTCATTTATATATGCTCAGGTGGCTCATTGTATTTACTGGTTTATGTTGATGACTTGATTGTTACTGGTTCTTCTTCTCTTGCCATTAATCAATTTGTTGAGTGTCTTGACAATAGGTTTTCCTTGAAGACCATCTGAAAGACTGTTCTTGTCCCAACATAAGTACATCTTGGATGTCCTTGGATGTGCTCAGATGCTTGAAGCTAAGGCAGTTTCAACCCTAATTTCAGTTACTCATAACCTAGGCCTTGCTAATAGCTCCTATTTTACTGTTCTGGCACATTATCGAGCACTCCTTGGCTTCCTCCAATATCTTCCATTCACTCATCCTCATATCGTATTTTTTGTAAACAAGCTTGCTCAGTTTTCAAGCCGACCAACTGAACGCCTTTGGTCCTCTCTCAAGCAGGTCTTGCACTATCTTAAAGGCATGACAAATCATGAGATCTTTCTTTCTCACAATTCTCCATTAACTTTGCATGCCTATTCATATATAGATTGAGGGAAAACAAAGATGATCGGAGCTCAATAAGTGGTTTTGTTGTTTTCATAGGCAAAAATCTAGTATCTTGGTGCTCTCGCAAACAAAGGTCTATTGTATGATCCTCGGCTGAAGTCGAATATCGTGCAGTGGATTCTACAACTGTTGAACTTTACTGAATTATTAATCTTTTTTGAGAGTTATCCGTATCGATGGATGATGTTCCTGCACTTTTTGGTGACAATCTTGGTGCTACTTACTTCTGTGCGAATCCGATCTTCCATTTTAGAATAAAGCACATTGATATTGAATACCATTTTGTCCGCCTGATGATTCAAAGTAAAGTTCTTCGTGTCCTACACATCAGTTCCGGTGACCAACTTGCCGACTTGTTTATCAAAGCTCTATTACGTGGTCCTTTTGAGAAAAAACTGCTTCAAGATTGGTGTTTTCAAACGACCCACTATCTTAAGGGGGGCGTAATAAGGAATTATCTTCTAGTAAAGATTCAATCATCATATGATTGCTATAGTTTCTCTTGATATCTTGTTATGTTAATAACATTTCTTATATATTGATCACTATAAATAATCTTTCAGATTCTTTGCTTTCTTTTCTTTATTAGATTCATGTAACCACTGTATAAAAAAGGTTTCTATATTTTAACTTGTCCCAATTTTCCATCTATGTACCTTAAGTTTGCGAGGAGGTCCTATAACCCTCCTGAACTTGTTCAAAGTAAAATTATTATCACCCCCTAACTAAGACCCGATTTAGTTGGGCAGTGATACTCACGCACTCCACATGTATTGCTACATTATTTTTTTCTTTCTAAAATATGTTTTTTTTTATATTTTTTCTCCCACCATCTTCTACTCATCATATTTTTACCATTTTGAACCACTAAACAGCCATAAAACTAAAACCACCTGCTGAATCATCACAAATAAATCATGAAATCCAAACCACTACCAAGCCACCAACGTCCAACTGAGAAATTAGTAGACCATACCGAGTTTATTCTCAAATAGTGAAGAAAAAATAGCGAGAACACTAGTCTCATTTCCCCTTTGCTTTCATATGTAAATGATGAAAAATTTAAAATCCTATTAGCAATACTATTATCCTCGTTTATAATAAAAGTTTCACAGCGAGAAAGTTACTTAGAAGTGATATAATGAATATCTTGATAAGAATACTAGACTCGGTAAAGAAAAAAAAAATATAGATTTGTCTTTGAAATAAATTTATTGAAAAAGCATAAATGATGACCTATTGTTTTCTTTGGCTCAACCAAATAAATTTTATGATTTGGTTTTATTTTTTATGTCTCAAACAAATAATTTTAGTGAGATAAAAGAGTTGGGTTTGTGGTTAGTGAGATATAATGATGTTTTTTCGAAAGAATTGAGAATTTTTTTTAGATGGAGTGAAAAGTGGAATGATGGAGCTTGGGCGGTCAAAAATAGATTTTTTCAGCCAATGTTATTGATTTTCTGGTCAAGAATGCTTTTCTACTTGCTTCTCATGCGTTTGATGGAGAGTGTAATCACTTTCTATGCCATGTTGGTAAAAAATGGTAAAATAATTTTATTTTAAAATAGTTTAAGGTTATACAATAACCACAAAGTTCAAAGTGTGTAATTGGCCAACTTAGACTAATTGAGAGGGGTAATTATGTATTCTCCCAATAATAAAGCAAGAGTCTTTGCTTTTAGTCATATGTGTTATAGTAGTAAGGATAAATTTAGTCGAATAATATAAAGTAAAGTAAATTTAACTGAATAGTGTAATAGAGGATAAATATAGATAATTTTTAAAATAAATTGATAAATTTGACCCTTTTATCAATAATTTATCAGAAACCAATAAATTAAAAAGTTTTTTTTAGAAGTTGGCATTTGGTGAAGTTAATGTTCAAGAAAGAGTTTTGGAAGTAGTAATCCCAAAATTCTTTTGAATCTAGAGATCACTTTTTTGACGATCAAGGAGCTGCTGCTGGGGCAAATGCGGAGCAGGCAATCGTAGGTTTGGTATGGGAAATTTGGAATAGATAGCCACGCCACGCTGAAAAAGAAAAGAGATAAACACGCCACGCCACTATTTATGAATCTTTAATTAATTTTAATGACACGACATTTGACCCAAAATAACATAAAGTCGAAGCGAATTCTCATAGTTTGATGAAATGGCCAGTGGAAGGATGCTCTCCGCATTCAGAAAACTCTCCATCACTGCACGTATAACACCTTATCGATCTGTAAGCCCTTTTCCTTTTAATCAAAAACACTCCTTACTCTTTCTGACTTATGTGCGTGGCATTCGAACTACCAGTTTAGTTTGTAACTATTTTCAGTAGCTTTGAATTCAAGTAATTACATAACTCGGAATTGCTCGCTCTTTTAAGATGTGTCAATTCAATTTTTGTGCATCTTTCTACATGCTTACTAAGACCTCGAAGTGACTAATAAGGTCGAATGAATGCTTTAGCCCAGGCCCAGTAATTTTAGTGTGTAAAGGAATTCACATAATAGATGAATCTTCTGGAATTGTGAAGAACACGAATAATAACGTGATTGGGTTCTTTCATGTAGTACTTACTTTCTTTAATTATTGAAAGATGAAAAAAAGGGCATTATTTTCTCGAATCAACAACAACTTAATAAAGAGCTGAACCCAAATAAGTTTTTCAACTATAATTGTGTCTTTCGTTGTATGGTAGGCCGTCCCTTTCTTCTGTTGCTGCAGCTGTGTCCTTGTTCTGCAGCTCAATTGCAGTTTTATCCAAGAAATTTTACTAGGCTGAGCATCAAAGTCAAATGCAAGTGGGTCAGGAATTCTGTTTCTGAGTAAATGAGGAAGTTAAAGGGGCTATTTTTATTGCTTATGATTCAATGGTGTAATTAATTAAGGAGAACCTCTGAATAGCTTCTGTGTTTGATAATCATATAGCTCAAATCCATGCTTACAAATTTGAGCTTGAATTGTTATGGTTCTATAATAGACGAATTTTGCTTCTGATTGAGCTTAAATTTACACCTCTGCTGTCTTGTATGTGTAGCTTAGTACATTGGTATTAGCTGAGCATGAAGGAGGATCAATCAAAACCTCATCATTAAGTGCCGTTGAGGCTGCAAAATCTTTAGGTGGGGACAATTCTGTATCGTTGCTACTTGCTGGATCCGGTCAATCCCTGAAGGAAGCTGCGGCACATGCTGCTTCATCCCACCTTTCCATTTCTCAGGTAACTCCTTTTTGGATGCTGGACTGTTTTTGTTTCAGTTCTGTTGTGCAGGGAATACTAACTTTATGCTATTTTCAAATTTTGTTTGTTCGCTTTTCAATAACATCTTAGCAAGGTCATCCCTAGTTCAACGTGAAAGAGGAGTAGTTGTATTCTATTTGACATGCTTTAGTGATTGTATGATACACCTTTAGACATGTTTACTTTGTTACAGAGAGAGAATTATCTTCCAACGGAGGAGGAAAGAGAGGATAATATTCTTGAACTAAAATCACGAAAGATGTTTGGAAATTCAAGGACCAGTGAATTTTTCTGATGATTGCATAGACAAGCACACTCTTGAGTCTTTACTTGTGGTTTCCTTTCCTTTGAATGGCTTAAGATACCGTAAAGCTAAAATCTGAGGAGCGGTTGGACACTTGTGGATAGAGTGATCACAGAATACAGTTATCTTATGTATTGGGAAAAAAGATTAGCCGAATTGCTTGGAAATGATACATTCAATTGACTTTAACTGAAATTCGGAAAGCATGCCATGGAACAAAATCCAGGAAGGATGATAGATTATGTTGTCAAGAGTATCCAAAGTTTAGTATCCAAGAGTGTAGTCTAGTGGTCAATGAAATGAGAGGAGAACTATGAAATTTCAGGTTCAAATCTCTGTGGAGGCAAAAACACTTGGTGATTTCTTCCCATCTGCCAAAGCGTTGGTAGGCAAAGTTACCCAGTGCCTATGCTGATGGGAGGTAGCAGGTGCCCTATGGAATAGTCGAGGTGTGTGCAAGCTTGACCATGCACCACAATCATTTAAAAAAAGACTATCTGAAGGTTACTTGTTATATACAATATCTCTCAGTTTTGTAGAAAGTGAGTACAAAATTGTATTGGTTTTCTCCAAATTAAACACATAGATATCATATGATTGTTATCCACAGGTCATGCTTGCTGCAAAATAATGCTTATCTCTTGTTTAGAGTCCTTGTTCTACAATTATACAATTTTCATTTTTAAGCATCCATATGATTTACATGAGAGTTGCTAATTGACTTAATCCAAGCATTCTACACCTTAGACCATTGAGACAAAAATGCCGTAACTAGCATTTAAATTAGTTAAAGCATTCAGGATTTAGCACATAGAGGGGAAAAAAGGCTTCAATGAATCCAATCAATTCAACTCCATTATTTTGCTCATGTTGTTTTTGGTTTTTGTTTTCTAGGTCCTTATTGCTGATTCTGACAAATTTACTTATCCTTTGGCTGAACCATGGGCCAAATTAGTCCATCTGGTTCAGCAGAGAGGTGGCTACTCACACATAATCGCTGCATCAGGTTCATTTGGGAAAAATGTATTACCGCGTGCAGCAGCCCTTCTGGACATTTCTCCAATTACTGATGTCACTAAGATATCTGGATCAAACCTCTTTATTAGGTGATTTCTTTAGTGGTTCCCTTATCATACTACATTAAATAGAAATTTTCTTGTATATAGTGAGCACTTCAAGTGATTTTTTTCAACTCTTTCCTGTTTGGAGTGATGGGTGAAATTGAGAGGTTGGCATTACCAGCGCTCTGGTTGAATGAAAAGCTTTACCTATTATTAGGTTTGGTGATACATCGGATTCCTATTATATCTTGTTGCATGAGTATGATCATTATACTGAACGGTCATTTGATGACAGTGAGGAAATACCCTTGTCTTTTACAATTGAACATTTTGTGTATACCTAGTTTGAGAGCAATCGTTTTCTGGTTTTCTCTTAGATATGATAACTTGCCACAAATTGCCAACTCATCAGAGTTATTTTGAAAAATATATAGGAACTATAGCACATCCCGCTACAAGATGAGATCTGGTTTTTCACTCCCGACTACAACACTGTTTCTGTCTTCTCGGCTAAGCTATAAGTTATGTTGATTTTAATTGGATTGTCTTTAATGTCACAGGCCAATATATGCAGGAAATGCTCTTTCCACAATTCGTTACACAGGTTCCAGCCCATGTATGTTGAGCATTAGAGCTACATCTTTTCCTGTTGCTTCATTACCGGCTGATTCGAAATCTGATGCTGCCTCAATAGATCAAGTTGATCTTTCAACCTTGGATGAAGGTCTGTCAGTTATGATCTGAGCCTATATCTTCTGCCATAACCAAGATATGGCATTTTTTATTCCAATCTTGTTGATTTTGATATTGTCTTTGAATCTCTTGTAAAGAAACTTGAGTAGGTTGATTTACCTTACCTTATCAAAAGAAGAAAAAAAAAACTTGAGTATGTTGAAACCTGAAGTGAGATAATTTGTTTTACAGATGATTCAGTTGGTAAATCAAGATATATAAAGCTTTCCTCCCAAAATGCGGAACGCCCGGATCTTGGAAATGCACGTATTGTAGTTACTGGGGGACGAGGTGTAAAGAGTGCTGAGAACTTCAAAATGATAGATAAGCTCGCAGAGAAAATTGGTGCTGCAGGTTTGCGCACTCCCATTATTTTGCTATTTTTTATGCAACTTCTTTATTCTCAATCAATCTGTCTTTTATGAATTCATATCTAGAATTACTTTTCATTTCATAGTGGCCATTTGCATAGGAAGCAGCTTTATTTCTACCTGCTTTTAGTTTGTTTATTAAACTGGTTTACTTCTCTCTTGCACAGTTGGTGCCACTCGTGCTGCTGTAGATGCTGGATTTGTTCCCAATGACCTCCAGGTAACACTAGAAATATCGTTGCTTTGAGTGACTTCTGTGCCTTTAAAAAAGTTAAAATGGATTTTCACATATGTTGTAACCTGTTATCTTTGCTTTTGTCTAAGAAAGTTTATGTTTATGGTATAATGAGTCAACCCTAAAATGTTGTGCAAGTAAAAATACTTGGAATAGTTTGGTGGTGTACTCATGAAACTGGAACCTATCACAGGTTTCATTTGACTTTTCTTGTTGATGCTTTAAGTGATTGAATAATTACAGTCGGTGACTTTTTTCAAATTAGTCAGCTTTTTCAAATACGGTTTTTGTTTTTCCTTTTTGATTTCAGGTTGGCCAGACTGGAAAAATTGTTGCCCCAGAATTGTATATGGCTTTTGGGGTTTCTGGGGCGATTCAACACATAGCAGGCATGAGAGATTCCAAGGTCATTGTTGCTGTGAATAAAGATGCGGATGCACCCATATTCCAGGTCAGGGTCAATCCGTTTGTTTTTTCTCTCCAAAATGAATTCATGCTCAAACAAATTCTGCTTTTCTCGCACTATGTTATTCCACAAGACAGAGAGAAGGGTAAAGGAGAGATTAACCCATTGTCTTACTACCTTTGATGGAGTATTGATTTATTTACTAACGGTTGTTAGCACTTAGGAAGTAGAGCACACCATACTTATTTCCATTAAATTCTGGAGCAACTGAAAAAGTTGGCATGGAGCGCCCTGACTTCCAATTTTACCTCATCAGCAAGCAAGAGAAATGACTGATAATGCACCTTTCGTCTTCTCACCCAACCAAATATAATGATTTAGGAACAAACTAAGACAAATTTTGCTTAAAGGCTGAGAATCAATTGGCACATGGAATAGAGAGGAAGATAACGTGTTTATTTATTTTATTATGATTTATGAGAACTCCAACCCCCCCCCCCCCCC